ATGAACATAATATTGATATATAATTTGTATTTGTTTGAAGTTTAGGATTAATTGTTATAATTAAAGCACTAAGTACAAGTCCACAACATTGAAATACATCAAATTGTGATAGTGACATTGATAAAAGAAAATATAAAATCAATACTAAACATGGTTCAATATATCAATGAAACATTTGTTCACTACAATCAGCAATTAATACTAAAGCATGTAATGCTCATACTTGAACAATTGATGTTGATTGATCTTTTCCAAGTACAAGTAGTATTGATAGAGATAAATTTAAATATAATTCTGTACTATCTCCATCAATATAACGATGTAAACATTCAAGTGCTAATAAATAACCTGTATGAGATGAAATATCATGAAATTCTTTCAAACGATCAAAATATATTTGTGCTATATCAGCAACAAAATGTCCATCACAAATAACTTGTGTTAAATTACCAAGAATTTCATCAGCTACACAACATAAGATGGAATTTTGATGACTTAATGTTTGCATAACAAATATACATGCTGATTTATTCACATTATCATCATTGATTGATGAAGATTGTTTAGTTTCAGCTAAAGTTCTTAATCCTATTAAAATAGTTGTAAATCTATTAACTTGTACAGTTTCTTGTTGTACATCTTTTGATTGTTAAATAATATCAATAAAATGTTGTAATATATTAAAACGATATTTATTTGATACACGAATAAATATTGTACCATAAAGAAGTATTGATGCATCAATAACAGCAACATCTAATGACAATGGATCAGAAATATTTAATTTAATTGCATGAGAATAATATGCATGTATTGCTAGAATTATTATCTGTTGTTGATGATGAACGAAAAAGATAATTTGTAATATTAAAAGAAGTTAAAGATGTATCTCGACAATAAAGATATGTTTCATCATTTTCAAGTGCACTTGAACCACTAGTGGAGTGTTGGTTGAAGTTGTTCTTCAATCATTTGATAATCAGTTTCTTGTAACTAATTATCTGAAAGAACAATCAAATAATGTCTTCGATATTTTAAATCTAACCGGAAATAGGGCAATACAATAAGAAGAAAAGAAAAAGATATAATTTAAAAAAAAAGAAACTGTTAATAATCTATAATAGAAAACAAGAGAGTAACTTTTATTATTTCATCTTAACATAACTAACGCATCAGTTAAACGATGATGATGATGATTTATCAATAAATTGCACTAATTCCAAAAGTAAATACATGAAGTAAATTACCGCTGATGATGTTGTACCTTCTTCAATTGAATGAAAGGAGTCAAGTACCTAGAAAGAAAAGAATAAATATTATATGATATTACAAATGAATACATACACCCCATGATATAGCTTTATTAAAAATTAAATGTGCAAAAAATTTTGCAACATTTCGTAATTGAACATTTTCAAGACTATCTACAGTATCATATTGATCTTGAAAAGGTTTTTGAAAATATTCCACATATTTTTTTTCGATGTACAAAGTTCTACAGCAAGTAAAGCAAACAAATGTTCGTATATTTGTTGTTGTGTAGCACCATCAAGAATTATTTGACATACTTGTATCTAAAATTTAAATCATACAAAAACTATTATAATTCAACATTTCAAAAATATACTTCTTGTTCAGGTCGTAAATTCATATCAAATACACTATCGGCACATTCTTTAGCACTAACATTTGACTGAATAATCGAACACATTATTTGACGTAATGCTGCTAAATCACTTAATGAAGATTGCGAAGGTGATTGACATGGGGCATTATTTTTATTAACAAAACCAGATGTTGTAGCAGTATTTTGTCTTGTTATTAATAATGAATCACCAGAGGGTGTGGGTGTGGGTGTAACTTTTTTGTTCACTGACCCTACACATCCACACCCACACCCACACCCACACCCACACCCTTCGAAAACAAGTTTTTTGGTCATAATTTTTCACAAAATACATAAATCGACTCAGTTTTTAACGCTGATTCTGAATCTGATATTAGTTTTGAACTGAATCGTAGTTTTGTGTACTCGGAAACTGAGTACACTATAGAATAGTCAGTGTGTCCGTCCGTCCGGTTGGCTGTTTACATGAGAACTTTTGACAGCAGAGTCAGATTGTGATGAAACTTTCTACACAGCTTAGTCTTGGCAATATCTCGGTCGAGAGAAGAAGATGAGAAGGATCGGCCGAGCCGTTCCTGAGTTATTGCAAAAATACCCATTTTTCCCTATAGCTTTCTGTGGAAAAATGGACCCATCGCCACTTTCGTAAAAGACTTTTCCTATCATAGTCAATCAAACCCCCAACTATTATATACCATTCGATAGAGAATTTCAAGAACTACAAAATAATATATAAAACATAAAGAAACAAGAAGGTTGACTTACCTATGACAAGGATAATGAAAGAGAACTAGGGTAGATTTTGGTCCACGATCTACTTGATCCAGAAATAGAGCTCTATATTCCGATCACACTGATGATACTCTGAGGTTTTCAGAGATGGAGAACTCGAATGTGTACTACACTTCCATCGAAATACTATTAGTTGTGCAGTGACCAATAGAAATGAAGTTATAGGAAAAATGACTTTCTTAGGGTAAATCAAGGGAAAAAGTTCACACTTGAGCTGTATTCGGTCTCATGTCCTATTGGTTTGGCAACGCGCAATAGAAATCAACATTTTAAATGGTAGATTTCACAGTATAATTTTGATATTCAGACAGTCTAGGATGATTGATTTGTATGATTCACTTTTTGAAGTACACATAACTGTCGGATTTAAATCCGAAGTTTCCGCATTTATTAATGTTTTCTTTTAAAGTATGTATGAATTTTTAAAAGCAATTACAAACATCGTATATATTCATTCACTATTTAGAGAAAACAACAGGTGTTAATGTTAATGGTCTTGCTCATGGTGGTTCTTTATTAGGTGGTGATTTTGTATTAGGTGGTACAGGTACTGGTTTAGGTGCATTTTCATTTACTCGGCTTGTTATTGATTTATCTTATTCATATCGTACATATAATGTACAATAATCATTATGAAATTGATTATAAATAAAATAAAAAATTTATTATTATGTATTAATTGTTCCATCAATTTTGTTCTGACGATGACCTCAATACGGCCGAAAACTCAACGTTTTATTATATTTTTACAATCAACTATTATTCAATTTGACATAGCTGCATTTATACTATTCTTTTTTGTGCAGCTATTCATATTAAATAAATTCTACTAAATCAAGATCTGATTTCGATATTGTTATATGTTGCTTCCCTTATTATTAAAATTGTTATATTAATAGAAATCCATGTTTTTAATGTTTGATTTTAATGTATGTATAAAAATATAATTGCTAGAAGATGCTTGAATAACACAGCCATTTACTACCAAAGAAAAATTCATCGCAAGAGTCAGCGATGGTGTCATTGCAAGAGTCAGCAATGGCAAAATCATTTACTAATTAACACAAATTCTTCGCAGGATTGAGCGATGGTGTCATTGCAAGAGTCAGCAATGGCAAAATCATTTACTAATCGACACAAATTCATCGCAAGAGTCAGCGGTGTTGTCATTGCAAGAGTCAGCAATGGCAAAATCATTTACTAATCAACACAAATTCATCGCAAGAGTCAGCGGTGGTGTCATTGCAGGAGTCAGCAATGGCAAAATCATTTACTAACCAACACAAAGTCATCGCAGGATTGAGCGATGGTGTCATTGCAAGAGTCAGCAATGGCCAAATTATTTGTTACTAAAAAAAAACTAACTGCAAAATTCAGCTATTGTCTATTTCGAACACCACATATGGGTTTGTTTCATTCTACATCTCGGCCCTGGTCCTGAAGCCGCGGTATGGTGTTAACATTGTTATGTTTTGACAGCGAGGTGGACCCTAGTCTGACAATCTTTGTGTGTGTTTTTCTGTGACGCTTCCTTCATTTTTGTACCTAATCCCTGTATGCGAATAAATCTAGCGGGTGTGGGTGTGGGTGTGATAGTTGCCGTCCCATGTGAGTGTGTTCAGATAGGCCAATGCATATTCTTCGTCTGCGTTACCATGGCGTCCTCTGAATTCCACGGACAACATGGTTGCGCATGTGTTTCGTGAGTGCATCTGATTCTCCGTAGAATGGGTCAATTATTATGGTGTGTAAGTGTCAGTATGGTTATTGCTGCTGTTTGTGTTGTTGGCGAGTGTAAGTGTTCAGAAGCTTATTCCTAGTGTTGGTGTGTCGTCGTAGTGTGTTGATGTGCAGTTAGTTATTGCTAGTGTTGGTGTGTTGTTGTGATGTGTTGATGTGCAGTTAGTTGTTGTTGCTGTTGGTGTGTGTAACGAAAAA